TCTTGTTTCATGCCGTAGCTGATAAGGAGAATTATTTTCAAGTTGAATTAGAAAATAAGACTTCAAGAGAGATTTTAAAGAGAAGAAATGACCAAATACATAGGAATGATAAATACACAGAAAAACCTGCATTTCTAGATATTGCGCTACAGAACAAAGCCTAAAATTATGAAGTAGCATTATATGTCATATATTTATAAAGCTATATATAAAAACATGAGACACGGTTGTAAGTCAAGATGAAGGTGCAACAACTGCTATTTCCTGAAAGGGTAAAAGAAGCTGGAACACTTTAAGGAGAAGTCTTTTTATGGTCAAGTCCTTTGCTTCAGTGATTTCATGTCTGCCTCTGGATAAAACTGGGCAGATCAGTTTACTAGATGAGATCCTGTGTAATGGAATTATGACGCATACCCTCCATAGTATTTACACAGAGGGCCAACGAAGAACTCAGTGAAACATTTTAATATTTTCAAATGAGCCATATAATTTTTATTCTGCCGTAATTTCTCAAATTTATTCTGATCCTGACTTGCTGGTTCCATCTTCTATACTTTATACTGCTGAAAGTTTTTAGAAAGCTTCCATGTGCCTACAATAAAAACAGTAATGTTTCTATGCTAATTTTTAAATTTACCTTCTGTTTATAACATCTTGGTAAAGAAGTTTCCGCAAAGAATATTGATATCTAAGGAGACTGTTTTTCATATATTTGAAGTACTTGGTAAATGTAGATGATTTCAAGGTGAAATAGGTCAGGAAATCACATCTTGGAGAAGGGTGACAGATAAATAAAATAAGTTCCTGGTTTTTGTAGATACATTTAATAGGGAGAAGCCGAGCAGGGATATCTGAGTGTATGTATGAGGGTGAGTGCGTGCGTGTGAGAGAGCAAGAGAGAGGATATTTTAATTGAAAGAAAAAACTTGTGATACTAAATTAAGATGACTGTTAAATGAGTTGCAAAAATAATATAGTTGATTTGTGAAAAAGGGAATTTTCATTTTCTAGGAATGTTATCTTTCATAATTTTACAGTATTTTATGAGCTATAAAAATCTGAATTACTTTGTTGATTAGATTCAATTTTATACATGTTCTGTTTTAGAAAACTGGGTAAATATTTTTCTTTTGGAGGGTTTAAATTATGTAGTATTGTGCTAATTTGTAACATGAACAGTGAACCCGTATCCTAAGCATCATTCAGAAGCCTTGAAATTGCAAATTTCTAGGCCACTCCAGAGTATTTTTTTATAAAAACAAGATCTTCAAATGGCTTGAATAACACACTAAAATTTGAGAGTACCGTGTTACTATATCAGTATACGCATACATTCATTTAGGTAGTCATGTTTATTTACATTTCTCCATTGTTCAGGATTTTATATAGTAATTTCCTAACTTTGGTAAAGAGGAGAATTCAATAAAATAACAAAGCATAACTCAGGAGGTACATACAATGTAGAGAAAGACAAATATACCATTAGCAAAGCTGTGAAAATAGCATCCTGACTGTGTTAGTAACTTTCTGATCACTGGAAGGTAAAAATCTGACATATACAACTTAAGGAAGAGTTTATTTGGCTCATAGTTTCAGAGGGTTCTGTCCATAATTGGCTGTGTCTAAGGTAGAAACATCATGGTGGAAAAGCTTGACTGAGAAAAGTTGTTTAACCTCCAGCAGCCAGGAAGCAGTGAGAAAAGGGACAACCTGAGGACAATATAGGCCCTTCGGGGTCACACCTCCAGAGTGACCCATCTCTTCTGCTGAGGCTTCATCTCCTAACAGCATGCTCACCTATGAAGTCATCAATGGAGTAATCCACTGTTAAGTACAGGGACCACATGATCCAACCACCAGGCCAAACCCCATCACTAAATGCATGAGACTTTGGGGGCACATTTTGGATAAAACCATAACATTCTTTCTCTGGTTCCCAAAAGGCTCCCGTCCATATCATTATGAAAAATGCATTTAGTCCATCTGTACGAGTCACCAAACTCTTAACGATTTCAGTATTGCTCAAAAGTTCCAAGTGCAAAGTCTTCTCTGAGTCAAGTTCATCTCTCAGCTTTGAATCCCCCTTTTTTGGATAAGGGGAGGCAAATTAGGATGAGGAAAAGAGTAAAGACATTGAAACTGATCAAGAAAAATATTTTTACATACCAATTCCCAATAATGTATATAATTGTTTTATATCACAGACATACATTAAGAAAATTTTAAAAATTAAAAAAGGTTAAACACTTCTAACTCACTATGGCACAGGGTGAACATTTACCACTCCAAAGGGAGGAATGGGGACACAGAAAGGAATCAAGACCAAAACCACCAGGGCAAACATTAATCCTGTAGATGCATGTCCAGCACTGTGTATCCTTTGCAGTTGAGTAAACATTTTTCACGTATGTCGTACTCAACAGGCTTTGAACTGGGCAACTCTGATTCCTGTCCCTTCACCCTCACTAACATGTGCAAAATTGTACATATTTTCACCCAGTGCTCCAGCACATAGAACTATCTGCTATGTCCTATATCCCACTGAAACACTTTTGAATAATGTTGTTTCTTATTTAGGAAGGGGATCAAGAGATGGAAGGAAAAGGGAGTGGAAGGAAAGGGAATGAAGAAAGGAATTAAGATGTGTCATGCAAATAACTCCCTACAAGGAATGTCAGCATTATGCACAGCAAGCATATACTAAAATCAACAACAAAATATTCAGGGCTATCCAGGTAGTTAAACCTCATCTGGATTCCAAGTTTTATGGATTCTTGGCTGTGTTACCTTGAACAAAGCCTCACATTTCCCGATCTCTAAAATAGAAATTATAATATTTATCGAACGTGTATATTATGAGACTTAGATGCTAGTACTTAATACACAGTTAGTACTTGATAAATGGCAATTGCTATTATTATTATCGCTGCAACCTTAGCTAGAAACTTCATGGGGAGATATCCAACTCTTTAATATATATTTTTAGACAAATTATGTAGCAGAAAATTAAAAATGGAATCTAAATGACTAACACATATAATCCTTTAGATAGTAAAAAGAGGAATTTTACTCTGCTTATTAAAATGCAGCATATTGATACATATAAGCTTTTACTCTTGATGAGAAATTCCTTATATACCCAAATTCTTCAGTTCCTATTAGGGAAGTAATGACTGTAATTAACCTATATTCATACTCAGCAAATTTCTGATCTTAATAAAGCCCAGTTAAATGAAATTATAATAGAATTAAATGATGATTAAAACATTTTAAAAAATATACATTATATTTCACAGAAATCATATAAAAACAAGAGTAAGACGATGATCTGTACATTTTTGATCAATTGAAATTAAGCTACTTATGGATGATTTATCAATTTAAAACTGCACTTAAACCAAGATCCACTGTAAAATCTCATCATATTATATTATTCTAAATTTCTATCTTTTTAATAATATTTAATATTTCTTTGTAGATGAAATTTCTTACTGCCTAAACTTAGTGTAAATATTTGACAATGTTTCTCCTTCTTTGGACCTATTATGTTGTCATCAACCAAAGTCCAGTTGGTAAACTGCACATCCAAAATATGAGTTGTAATGAATAATTAGTAGAAGATTAAATTTACTTAAATATTTTTCCCTTGATCTTCAAAACTTTATGTTGGGGGAAGGTAGCAACCTGGTCACTGAGTATGTTAATGGGCTCACCATACCCAGAAAAGGAAGAATATCTTTGGGCTGAGAGCAATAAAACCTCTGAGATTTCATATAAATATATATCATTTTTTTAATAACTGGTAATACAGGAAGAAAAAGAATATTTAAAGTCATGCACAGCTAACATTCCACAATAAGAAACTAGATTTGCTGGTTAAGATATCATTATATTCACCAAATTTCACACAAGGTATTTCGAAGCATATTGTGGGAAAATAATGACAATGACACTTGGAATCTCAAAAAAATATTTTTACTTCCAAGAGACTGTGGTCAATCTTTTTTTTTTTTGTACCAGGGATTGAACTTGGGTCCTTGTGCTTGCAAGACAGGCCACTGAACCCCTGAGCTAAATCCCCGGCCCAGTCTTTAGATAGTTGTAAAAGTACAACGAAGAAATATAAATGACAATTCAGTACAATGAACATTTTTTGAATTTAATATTTTACTCTTTAGAATATAACTATAAAATACCAGGCGAAGAATATTTATTTTCTTAAGGTGGATTTTATTTTCATGGCTTAATTCTCAGGAATTTCAGGCAAAAGCCTTATTGTGGCAAACTTAAAAATGAATTTTCTATCAATTTATATATTTGAAGTTGATACTCATGAGATCAGATTTTTTAAATTGTTTTATTGAATTGCTTCAAGAATTAAAATAGATGTTTTTACTATTCATCATTTTAAAAAGTATTAAAATGTTTTAAAACTTGTATGGTTTTTTAAAAATTAGCATTTAATTGGCATTCTAATATTATGTGAAACCAAAAAATTTACTTATTACAAAATAATTCATTTTCTAAACTGTGCTTTATCCTAGTAAATTTTACTACATGGTGAGTGACATGGTTTGCCTGTCCACAGTCATTTTAGAACTGAAATTGTCCTATCTCAGCAGCCACCTCAATCCTGAGTAAACTGAGATGATTAGGTGTCATCCTTGTCACAGGTCACTTAAATACTGCTTGCCGTAGGTGCATTTAGTACAAAGTAAAGCCAGGAAGCCTACCCAAATGATGGTCGAATTCCTCACAAAGGAAGTAGAGTGGATGGTATTATGTCACTTATAAAAATATAATATTGAGAGCTTGGGATGTAGCTCAATGGCAGGGCCTTTTTCTAGCATGGATCAGGCCCTGACTTTGATTTCCTGTGTTCTCCCACCTCCCCACAAGAGTAAGGGTCTATGTTTCTGTAAAGTCTGTTTAAAAAAAAAAAATCTTGCTACTTAACCCTGAATTCTAATGATCAAACATTACCTTAATAAGATACTTACATCTGCAGAAATTCTTCAGAACCACATACACCGAGAAGATGATCTTTGGGACAGAGGTGGTCACTCGTACATAAGTGTAGAATTTCTGCAATTAAGTCTTTGACAAGGTAATCAGCTAAAAACAAACATGAACAATAAACGGCTTATCAGATACTGGCTGGGAAACTTTCTAAGCACAAAGAATGATAAGTACACTGTGAAGTGTTGTAACCGTGGAGCTCCATCAAGGGGGATTAAAATGAGAGACACCACATAGATTAGTCTGGTTAGGGTTCAAGATAGTTCTGAAAAATGTCATTTGCAATTTGTTTTATTAGCTCCATTTCCATAAAATATAATAAAGCTAGGTATTGTGTTCCTCGTGTTCAAACCCTTTGTACATTGTATCTCTGCATAAAAGATAATCTGCTGCCATGATATTCAGACAAATTCTACAACAATGAACATTTAATTATCAATGTTCTTTCTGCTTCTAAGACCTGAAAATAATTGTAGATGTGACTCTTTTTCAGTTGGTGTACCCGGACGAGTTATTTCCCCTTTTAGATCCAGCTTCCTTAGATGTTTAAAGGTTTGTAAAAGCATGGCTTAGTTCCTTCAGGGATTTGATATGAGGGCAACATAAAAAATAGACAAATGTGGTCAGTGTATTAAAAGGTGTTATGTCCACACTTTGTGAGTGATCTTATGGTCTCAGTCAGTGGAAGCCAGTGCAACAGACTGGACTGATGATCAGCAGGCAACAAGAAAATTTGTGCAGCACCCTCCACGCGGTAATTGCCTCTGCCTTCAGTTTTCGCTATTGCCATGTGCTCATTTTTTCATGAATTCTTTAAATGACCGACGTTTTGTTTGGAGGGAAAGAATTTTGAGTAAAACTAGCTAAAAAAAAAAAAAGTGCTACAAGTAATAATGCTGCCACAAGAGAAAAGGCAGGGCATCATGCTGAATTTAAAATATCGGTCTTACAGTAGATCAAGATATCTCTAAATAAGGGGCTCGGGAAACACGTAGTAATGCTATCAGGGAATAATCATTGCAGAAATTCCTTGACATGACAGAGTATCTTAAACTTATTATGTCTTGGAAATAATGACTAAACTTGTATGAACTGAAGCTAGATGAAAATGTGACCACAGGCAAAATCACAACTATGAGGTCTTCAGCTAGCAAAGGAGAGGATTTCCAGAATATGATAGCAGATATACTTGAGTTGGTACTTAATGAATTATTTTGACTCTCCTATCTGTAGTACCCCTACATGGGACATTTCCTGTACTGTATGGGGCATGCATGAATTATTCCTTTGTTACAATTATTTTTCTGTCTTACATGAAATTCCTATTTCTCGTCTCCTGTGCTTTCGTTTCATAGGGATAAAGAGGTGGTATCCCTTTCTCCCCCACTGTAAATTTCATAATTGACACTCCTATAACAAAAGATAGGATGGCCTAAAAAAAACACGCATTTAAACATGATTTTATATGACACAAGAGCTTTCACAAATGAAGAACTGAAGAAAAGCCAAGAAAAACCATGCATATTTTTATGCTTAGATGAAGAATGGCAGCTAGGTGGAGGTGTGATGGGACAGAAAGTGTCTGACTTAACTAATAGACAATGTGGAGACACAGAGAGGCCTGACTGGGTTCTTCTTGTGACTTCCCATTCTCTTTGGGTTGGGACACGATCTCTTCTGAATTACGGTTCTAGATTTACTATCGGACAAAGTAGGTCTTAGAATTTCTTTATGGAACAGCTATACACAGAAAGAAGAGGAAGTTTAGAGCAATATTTCTAAGTTTTATGACTGGATTTGGGGAGTAAGCAGTTTACTGTGGGAGAGAAAAATACAGCTGGAGAAAGAAGGGTTGGAGAAATCCAGAAAATTTTGCTTCTGATGCCTTTCCAGTTTTGTCCTCCATGTCATGCTAAAGTTCTGTCCTTTGGAGGACTGTTTTCTAAACTCCAGCAGTTTCATACCTCCTACTATCTGTTCCATGGTGTTCTTTGGACGTTTGCTTATTACTTCAAATTCAGCTTGTCTCAGTATAGAATCACTGTCTTTTTACTTGAAGGCAACCATTAAATCCGTAGGTAAAATTTTCAACCACATTGTGAGCCAACAACCACTGGGGTTTCTTTTAAATAGACTCTTACACCTCTACTTTAATTTTGTTCACTAATACAATCTTTTTCCTGGTTTCTTGTAGTCTTGTCTTCCACTCTGAGTAGTCCTTGCTGTTAACCACATTGCCTACCATATTGAAAAGGCTAAGACTAACTTGAGTCTTTCATTATACTATTCTGAGCCTCACATCTAGTTTTTCACTCATCCTCTGTTCCTTCACATTCTTAGGATATATAATTTTTTCTACATTATTTTGTTAAATCTTATTCCATCTGCATTTTTTATTTCCACACTGGGTTCTAATACCATCAAACAACTCCTTTTTTATTGCATTTTGAATATCCTCTACTTTAAAGATCTTTTAAGTATCATCCACTTCTGTTTACCCTTCTCCCCCAAAATCTCTCCTTAACCATTCTACTTCTTTATAGTATTTTTTCTTTCACATTTTCTTTACCTCTAAACTTCCTTCAAGGAAAGACTTCTGCTAATGTGTCTCAATTACTCTTCAATTCTTGCAAGTTGATTTCTATTTCCAAACCTTTTCAGGTCACAAATGGCTTCCAATTAGAGTTCAAATGTGGGTCCTATAGAAGGTAGCTAAGAATAAAGACACTGGATCTTGTATAACTTCTGATTGAAAGTAAGGACTTTACAATCATTGAAATGATTGTTGAAGGTTATGAAACAGAGTTTCTTTTTTTTTTTAACAAACTTTTTTCCTCAAAGTATTCCATTTTGTAACTCTTGCAGAATTTTCTGTGAATGGAATCCTTCACCTGTGTCTTCTCTTTAGCAAGATTTCATTTTTTCTTACTTTCTAAAAACAGCTTCTGTCACTCAACTGAAGTCATTCTTAATACATCCTCCATACTTTTACTCTTTTGTGAACATTTGCAATACTGGTGTGGAGACTAAAGTGAAAACATTTGCAACATTACCTGAAATATCCTTATTTGACTAAAGCCACAAGTCCCCAAAATAAATCTGCCAGTGACTGCCTTCTGAGGGAATTTTCCAAAAATTCCAGGAAGGAGACAGACTGCCCATTCCATTAGCAATGAAAAATTCAGGGCAACCATTTATATTTCCTACTGAAACCCTAAAACTCCCGCTATTTGTCTATTGGTATAGAAACATTTATATTTGGATTTCAGTTAATCATTACTGAATGATTCCTGGTATACGCATACATCTGACTATACTCAGTTAATTCAGATACTTCCTCACCCTCAGTCTTTTCAGTTTTTCTGAAAATCATGCAAATACTACCTTGTATGTTTCATGAGTGTCTTTTGTCCTTCTCTGTATCAGCGACCTCCACTTCACTCCCTCTTCATTGTATTTAACATCTTTATCACTTTGCAAATCCAACACTAAATACAGTGGCCTAATCACTTTACTGAAACTTCTCATAAAAGTAAAAAATGACTCTGGCAGAAGAAATCTCCTCAGGAATTAGGATTTGGATCCAGAGAGAACTTCACTGTACTTACTCAGAACCTTGACTATGGTAAGAAAGTGTAAAGCATAAGAGATAATAATAAATAAAAGAAACAATTTATTGGATCACGTGTCAGGAAAGAAGTTTCCTGTTGTTATATAAAAACTCAATAATAATTAAATGTTTAAAGGAGTAATATTATTTTACAAGGTGGCAGGATATAACCATGCAATGAGATACCAAATTACTGTAAAGATATTCTAAAACTATAGAAAAGTAAAAATCATCCAATGTGTTTGATAAAATGTACATTTCTGAGATCTATCCCCAGAGACTCTTAGGTCTGCTAATTCTGATGGAGTGGGCTGCCCAGAGCTGGTAGAATTCTCACTGTGACAATAGAGATTTGTGTGAAAGTACCTCTTCTGTATGATAATTTATTCATAATGGAATAAAATAATTGTTCCTAATGGATAGGAATAGTCATTATCACACTTCATCTTTATCTAGAATCTCTTTGAAGTTTATTTTTTTAATATGTGGAAAAATTACTACACTTACTAGAAAGAATTTGTAGCAGGAATATAGAAAATTTTGTGGTTAGCTATGTAGAAAGAGTTACTGAAGTTCTCCCCGCTAGCAAACTTCAAATGTTAGCAACTGGTTCCCAACTGTTTTCCTTTGATTTCATTTTGGAGTAAAATAATATAGAACAGTGCCCCTTATGATTTCAGTCTCATGTCAAGGTTATGTATCAACATCATCTCCATAAAGATTTTTATATTTACTTAAATGTTTGCTTACCATGTGGTGTAAGATGAAGTAGTTGTCCTGAGTTATGAGTAAAAATACTGAGGTTGAACTTGCTATCAGCGAAGAGCTGGAATGGAAAGGCAGTAACGGGGCTCCATATCTTTCCAGAATTAGAATTAATGTCAGCTGCACGATAGGTCTCTTTTATTCTGAAAAGTATATGGTAAAAATGTTTAAGACAAGAGCTAGCTGCATTTTGAAAAGAGCCAATTTGAAAAATATCCATGACATAAATAAAAGAGAGTTTTGCAGTGTTTAGCTTCAAAAGATTTAAAACATGAAAACAACCAATTACTGATTTCAAGTACAGTCCATTTACTTAGGCCAGATTGGTAGAGATTATATTTAGACCAAGAACAAATGTAAAGGGTTGTTTTCTAGACTTTCTCAGAAGCACATCATTTGAAGTAGTTAAGAGTATATTTTCATAAACATAATGTTACCAGGCTCGGGGATGCTGGAGACTCTCTCCCTTTGGAGGTAAGTTTTAGTCTTTTGGTCCAGAACAAAGAATGGAGGGAAACAAGTTATAAATGGTGGCAAAGTCTTACAGTTATGAAAGTAGGGAAAAAAAAAAACAAGCTCTGTGGAGGGAATCTGGACTAAGTAAAAGTAGGAAAAAGGAGAAAAAATAATATACCCTACAGCGTGCATCGGCTACTGTGAAGACACCAAGCAAGAGCTTAATGGCTATAGTCCCTTTTTTATATCTCCCACGCTGGCGTCACATCCAGGCCATCCTATCAGAAACCTGCCTGAGTTCTCGCGAGAAGTTAACATGCGGGGCTTTCGAAATGGTTCTGTGCAGAAACCTCCTTTCCCAACAAGTTTTAGCCACACCCTGTCTTCCTGCCTCAATAAAACACAAGAATTCACCCTGAACATTATCACGTGTTTCATATCCTTTGCTTTTGATGCCTGAATCGCTCCTCAGATTTCTCTCATGGGTGTTGAGTTGCAAGCCACTCATTTTGATTTAGAAATACTGGTAAATAAATTCTTTGTTTGGGCTAGACTTATAAACACTACTCTTTGTTCTCTGTGTTTTAAGAGTTTTGTATTTTACACAAATAGCTAAGCGTAGAAGTCAAGAGTACATTCTGAATAATTACTTATTGAGTAAATGGGTCAAAAAATTGCAAAACAGTCTATCCTTGGAGCAGAAGCCTTGAGTATGAATCTTTTTGTTTGTTTGTTTTGAGACAGGGTCTCAGTATGTAGTTGAAACTGACCTGGAACTCACTATGTAGCCTAGGCTGGTGTCGAACACACAGCGATCTGCCTGCCTTAGCCTCCCGAGTGCTGGGATTACAGGCTTGTGCCACTGCAGCCGGCTTGAGTATGAATCTTTATGCTTTCACTTAGTAATGTTATTACCAGAGGCAAGTTATTTGACTAGTTTCTTTGTTTGCACAAAAGAGAGAATTACTATCTGCTTCAAATGTTTCTTGAGATGAGAAAAGGCATATAAAAGACATGTAGAATGTTAAGCAGTGTAAAGTATCATAATTATTATCTGTCGCTGTAGCTTGATCCCTGTAGACTCATGTTTTGTGCAGAGATGTAGAATATTTGCAAGTAGATATTTAAAATTATTTTGAAGATGAAAAAGGAATCTTGAGTTCTTTTAGCATTAATTATGCTGACATCTAAATTTTCCCTAACTTGAAAATTACACTTTCTGTATCGGAACATTGCCTCCTTAGCACCCACTTTATTCTACTCCTGCAGTGCTAGGGTAGTGCCAGCCCTTGAAGTTGCTACACTCTTTAGATTGCAAGGAAACCTCCCATCTACGAAGAGCTGGACGAGTGGATCTGACATCCATCACCTTTTGTTCTGGACCCCATCCCCGTAGTTTCTGATTCAGGATATCTGTGGTGACCCCCAACGTGTCTTTATTATAGTTTCTCAATTGATCTGCTGCTACTGCTGCTCTGACGCTGTACTTCGAAAACCACTGCTAGGACAAAGGTATGGGTCACTCTCCCTTGTTACACCCTACCTCAGAAGTGTAGAAGGCAGTCTTGGGTAGAGAAGGACGTGCTTTGTGACTTAGCATTCGCCATACGATACGATGCTATTCAATGCATACACGATTTCAGCTTTTACCCTGCTGGGGATTAAATTTTAATATGCAAATTTGTGACTCCTAAACCTATGCTGACATCTGATATAGATCAGGAATTCCTTCCATGTGCTGTGGCATCTCACTATATTTTGTACTAGAATGTTGCATAGTTCTTGAAAGATGCAACTTTGAAGTATGTCACAGCAAGAAACCAGACCCTATTAGTTAGAAAAGCCCTTTAACAGAGGTATAACAGAGATGCTAATAACCACGGAAGTATGTTTACTGAAATATTATACAAATACATGCAGTTCGAAATATAAATCTACTTTGTTATGACATTTTGAAAGTTTTGGAGAAAGTCATGTGAAACATGGCTTTCAAATTCAGTTTGGTCTTCATTTGCATCTGGAGCAAACCCCACAAGGGTGAAAGCTGAAAGCCGGCGTGGTGGCACATGCCTGTAATCCCAGCACTGTGGAGGCTGAGGCAGGAGGATCGCTGAGAGTTCAAGCTCTCATATATGCGTTGGACAGCATCTTATCATATGGCGAATGCTAATTCATAGAACTCCTCTGTCTCCAGCCACGACTGCCTTTACGTTTTTGTGGCGGGGTGTAACAAAGGAGAGTGGTCCATTTCTTTGTCCTGAGCAGTGCTTCTCCAACTAAGAAGTGCTGAGTATACCATGGGTCCTCAAAATATTTACTGTGCAAGTAGTTTATATGTAAAATGGTGGTGCTGATATACATTTAATCACCTTATGGATGAATAGTTTTTCAACAAAAATTTACTGAAAATCAGGGAAAGTGCATGTGAATATAATCTGCAGCCCCTTTTCCTACTTCAAAGTTTCTGTTTGGTTGGTTTAGTGCTCATGGTTATTTAAAAAGAAACCACTGAGAAAAGATACACTTAAGAGTTGGCAAATGCACCACAATCTAATAACAAAGCATCACATAAGATATTTTCATGTCCCTATTGCACCTATGATGTTTCACTTAGGAATATAAAATTATGTTTTGTAAAACAAAGTTGCTGGAGGAGCTCATAAGCAGAATTAGTGGGGTTATACCAAGGACTGATATCTCACAGCATCAAGAGAGCTATTTTTTATGCCTAACAGGTAAAAATTACTACAGTCAAGTGGCAAATTTCTAGCAATGCTTGTCATTTTATTACAGTGAGCAGGTTATCCCTAAAAGAGTTGATATTGATAACGTTGAAGATCCTAATTTAGAAATCCAAAGTACCATTTAAAATTTTCTTCTGTAAACTTCAGCAGGATATTAAAGATTGAATGTTTTATGGATTTGAGATGATTTGCTTTGTATTTTTGTGCACTTGTCTTCCTTCTTCAAATCGTAGTTACAAGTTTGAAGGAAGGACCTTGCTTTTTTGTCTGGTTGTTTGTTTTAAGCCTTGATATCATATCTCTCATTAACAAAGGAGTTATTAGACACAGAAATAGCCTAAATGCTAGTTTTCTCAAATTTTTCCAAATGATCATTTAGTAAGTTAAGGCACACACACACACACACACACACACACACACACACACGTATATATATTCAGAATAATGACCATAAATGGTTAAAAGCCAAGAGGACAAAATGTAAATGCATTAAATTTTCAAAACTTTTACATATAGAAATAGAACAGATGACATTATGTAAATTTTAATTGCTAATAAGAAATTATTATTTTAGAAAGCATCTCCTTTTACATCATAGATTTATGTTTAGGTGAGCAAAAAGATCAGTTTTTTTTTTGAGTCCTCTAGTAATGAAGTTTGATTTTTAATGGGTGCTCATGTAATTTAATACTCTGACAAACCATTAAAGATAAGGTTTAGCTAGTAAGAAGGAGGCATTCACAAAATTCTAAATAGAATGTCCTAGGTGAAAGGATAATCTGTATTAAATTGGGACTGAGCCTGAAAAGTCAGATACAGTATTAAATGAAAAATTAATTCACTGCCATTCAAATTACCAACAAGCAACAAGGGGAGCTTTGAAATTATGAAACATTCAACTTTAATCAAATTTTAAGAGAAAAATATCTACTTGACTATAAATATCAAGAACAATCACAGAAATTGATTTAAACTAACTCTGAGCTTTAATGAAATAGCAATAACTCACTTTTTCACTTTGTCACAAAAGGAGGCCAGGGTCATGTTACTGCCTTGCAATACTTCCGCAATCTGAATGGAACAACCTCTTGGCTTAAAATAAAAATGGCTAAATTAATATGGTTCACTGTAGAGAAAAGATTATACAATTCTACAATGTTCATACTGTTTTGAAAGATTTTGTGATTTATGATTCAAATAATATACGTGAAAAAATGCATATAACTTAAGTAGAAAGCTTGCATTTGAGGAATTCATGCAACTGTGTAACCAACAGTACAATGAAAGTATAAAACATGTGTCACTTTAGAAAATTTCCCCCATATTTCCTTCTAGTCAATTTGCAACCTATTTGGTGATGTATTTAGACTTCTGTCACCATAGCTTAAGGGTATACCTCCTTTTGGTTTGGCTTTTGTCACATACATAACATATATTTTTTTTTTCCAGAGTTTACTGATATTGTCACATATATGAGTACTTTAACATTTTTATTAAGGGTTGGCAGCATTCTCAGTTGTTTCTAATCCATGATTTGTTTAGACATGTTCCTATTGATGGACATTTTGACTATTTTCAGCTTTGGGATGTTGTAAAGACGATGATTAATTTTTATAAGTACTATGTGGACGTTTGCTTCATTTTTTGGAAGTTATGCATAAATAGTTCAGTCAGAAGTCAATAAATGTTTGGTATTAAAAGAATACTTTTTAGCATTTTGAAGCTGCGTTATTAGGTGCATATGGATTTAAATTTATTATTTCTGTTTGATTACTCTTTTTATCATTACAAAATGACACTTTTTTCTTTAATAATACTGTATTTTGAACTGCACTTTTCCTGATATTTATTACAACACAAGTTTTCTTTTTCTAGTTGAATGCTAAATCCTTTTGTTTCTTTTGGTTTCAGTTTATGTTTTTGTTTCTTAGGAGGATTTTTTTTTTTAACCTAGTCACTTTCTGTTTCTGATTTGGAAAGTTTAGTGTATTTATAGTTATTTTTATGGCAGTTGTTGGATTTCAGACTGCCATATTTATATTTGATTCTACTTATCTTTTTAATTCTATTCTATTTTTTTCCTGATTTTTTTAGTTTATTTGAGTTTTTCCTATTTAGTTCTGCTAGATCCCCTCAGATGTCATTTTCCTTGTACCTGAAACATTTACTTTGGTACTGATTTTTTGTGTGGATGTCAGTTAACTTTTTAAAAATCACTCTTTATATGTCTTTATTTCATTTTCAGTTTTGAAACATATATTCATAAGATATAAAAGTATCCTTTATGATTTTTAACATATTCCTTATTAAGGTCCTTAAAAGTTGTAAAAACAATTTTCTACTAGAAAGGTACAGGGGGACAATTCTGATAAAATATTCAAGTGAAACAGTGACTTATGGTACTGAAGATAATTTTAATATCCATACAAATCCCAAATGTCAGATTCAAAAATATTTTACTAGATTTCTTAAAGGGCAATGATTAAAATATAAATTACTGCTGTACAGTGAATAATAGTGAACATTTGGACAGCAAAGTGAACAAAATATTGATTACTTTTCATGTACATATTTTTCCCTGTAAGATTAAATTTCTAACTCTTTTACTATACTCTCAATTGTGTCAAGAAACTACACATAATCTCACAGTGGGGTCAGGGTAGTTATAAAAACTACCTCAAGGAACAAACACTACTGGCAGTGTTTGTTATTTCCTATTTTGTAACCACAATTACAGTTACACTTCCAAAAGGTAAGACAGGTGTTAGTCAAACCACAGACAAGTCCTCCTTGACTGGCAATCTAAGGAACACTTATCAAACATAATGGATGTCCCTTTTGAAATTACGTATTTTACTCGTAGTTTTTATTTAAAAGGTGAATGTTGGAAAATTAATTTTTTTTCCTGCTCTTTCCAAAGTCTTTCCAAAGTAAAAAGTCAAGCTTAGTTCTTCTTTAAGAGAACTTTAAAAAGTCATTCTATTGTGTCTTTTTTCCATTGTTTCTGATGAGTTTTTACTCAGATTATAATCCAATATTTGAAGCCTTTTCCTCTAGACTGACTTCTTTTAAGATTTTTCTTGATCAAAATTTTTAGATGTTTGAGTATAACGTGTCTACATGTGGTTGACTTTGTATTGATATTTTCAACCAAATTAGAGAAAAGTTCTGCCCATTGTTTCTACAAATTAAATTTCCCCCATCTTTGTTTTCTGCTAGCATCTCAATTGTCCATATGTTGTGCTCCTTGCCTCTTCACTCTGAATCCCTGCTCATTTTTATAAATTCTTTGACTTTTCTCTTCACCATGAATAGTTTATACTGCTTTGCTTTTGAGTTTACTCCTTTCATCCCGCCATTCCCCATGAAATGTGTTGCTCGGCAGACCCAGTGACTTTTTCTTTACAGATGTTCCTTTCAGTATCTGAATAGGCATTTGTTTTTCTTTATTTTTCTATAGCTTGTATAGTCTTGTTGAGATCTCATTGACTATCCACTCTAAACATCTTTTGACATCGTGTATACATAGCTCTGACTTTAAAGTCTCTATCTTTTAATTCTAAAAACTAGCTTAGCTCAGAAATTCTCCTGCCTGGGTTATTTTCTTGATTGTGGACTAAATTCTCTTCTCCTTTACATAGCTATGCATTTGTTGTTATATATTGAATACTATAGATGGCACACTGTGAATTTTGGTGTTTTAAAAAAATAAAGTGTTGACTTTTTCTTCAGCAGAGTGCTAACATCCTCTTAGTCTTGTCATCCTTGTTTAAATATTTTTTTGAGTCACATCTGTTTTGGTTGGTGTAGTATTCAACTTAGAGAATGACTTTTGCTCCTCAGTTTTGATTTTGTGTAATTTCATTTTGAACGCCAGCAGCAGTCTGCTCGGTCTCTTTTCTAGTTTTGCCATAACCCCAAGGTTGACAATATCTATCCAGCTTCGCAAGCACATCCCATTACTTGGCAGGAGGGTGCAGTAAATTCCTTGTAGACTTCAGAACCCCTCGCAATACATAGCTCCCTCTTCTGATCTGTAAGCTACAGCTGGTTTTATAGCCTGCAACGAACTGTAGCTCGGACACTACTGTTCATATCACCTTGTCCAGAAGCAGGAAACCTCCTTCAGGCAGAAACCAGGATAGGCACAGGTTTCACTTTTCTTGAGGAGCAATGTCTCACACTGCCTGTTGTTCATTGCCTGAGATCAGCTGCTTCATATTTTTGTCTGACTTTATACTTAGCAGTAGGGAAGTTTAGTACTGGATATACTGTCATAAGAATTAGTTATTTCTCTGATTTGACTTTTAATTCAGATCATTTGAGGTGCTGTTCCATTGCAAGCCCTTTGGGTAGAATTCGGTGTTTCTTCTGCTGTGCACTAGCCCTGTCTGTAGTTTTCTGGTGTTGACATTATTTACAAGCTAATTGGAATTGTAAGCCATTCATGAACTCATATTATCAGGTCTTCTTTGCATCTTTTTTGCCTAGCTTACAACAATATATTTCAAAGATTAGGTAGATAGTTGTTGACTCCTTTTGGCATCCTCTGAAATTGCAGTTGCAATAACATTTCTTCTTTTCTACCATTTACTTCTCCTTTTTAAACAGTATAAGCAGAGGCATCTTCAACTATTGTACTGGAAATTCTGTGGTTACTGAAATGACTGGAAAACTTCTGATGTAGCCATTAGGATGACTTGCACAGTATTGCTAGATTTTCTTCTCTTGGAATGAACTCAGTCGAAATTGCCTGCTAATAATACAACTGAGAAGTCTCTGGGTAAAAGGTCATCTTTCCCCCTACCTTTAATGGTAATGGCATTTTAGGTCATCACAGTGTGACTGAAATAGAAATAGAAATATATGTGTGAGGGCTGGGGCTTTAGCTCAGCTGTTTGATGGCCTGCCTTGCAAGCGCAAAGACCTGAGTTCAATCCCCGGTACCAAAAAAAAAAAAGAAAGAAAGAAATATATGTGTGTGTGTGTGTGTGTGTGTTTATATATGTGCTTAACACAGTAAGAATAGAAAATATTATCAGCTAAACTTCAAACTATCCTTTTTATTCAATAAAATATAAGTACTGTAACATTTTACTTAGTTTGATGAAACTGGACTTTATAAATCATAGCTTTAAAAATATGCCTTTTTTCTCAGAAATAACCATTAATACAATAATATGGAATTTGAAAATAAATGAAAAATTTTAAAATAATTTTAATGGATTTCTCAATCTAGTTACTTTCATTGGCAATGAATCCAATAAATGATTGAATGATTCTTTCAGATTTATGTTTGAATATGAATTAATCATTTTCACATACCTCTATGTTTCCTGCCCATGTACTTTCCCATGTTCTGGGCAAAAAAGAATTTTTAAAGAGCACTGGAGAAGGATCTACAGTGTTGATATTTTTACTTTTATTCTCATCTTTTGGCATGAAGTCAATTGAGAAGGATGAATATACATGAGAGATATTTTCAAATCCTATACTGTAGTTATGATTTTCATTTCTCAATTCTCTTTGTGAATTAATTTCATCTGCATCAGTGCATGATGGATGTACAGTACTGAATCTGGCACCATCAGAGCCCTGGTATTTTCTTACGGAGTTTTCCCAAGAGCTTTGTTTATTTATCACTTTTGGTTTTGGTCCCACAGAAAGATTAAAACCAATAGCTGCAGTTTTCCCACATTGATTCCAAGAGACTTCTGGGCGTTTAGAAGGAAATTCATTCACGGATATTTGGTGTGTTCCAGCCAATGAATGTCTTTTTGAGTCCCAGTTTAGTTCACTGGGCACATAAAAGGTGTTTTCTTCAGTATTACTCTGATGAAGTGGAATTTTATTACTGATTTCATTTACGAGCTGATCAAAACCCAGACTGACTTGGCTAGAACGAGATTGATTTACAGAGTGAAAATCTCGGTGTTCATACTGTTCTTCATGTGGTTGCTTGGGATTTGGATCTGACTGCCAACTGTACGCCATTCTTCATTTTATGGAACTGAGAGGGTTGACTTGGCTACAAATATCTCCTTGGTTGTAGCATAAAAGGATAGAACTTTTCCTAGAAAAACGACATAAAAGGAAACAAAAAATTTTTAGCAATAAAAGAGCTTGCAAGAAAGAAATATCCTGAATATATATATATATGTACATATATTTGTGTATTTTGAAGTTTTTTCTTTAGCAAATACAATAATTTCTTGAATACCATAAAACTACATACAGTCTCATAATGTTACAAATCTGAGGGAGAATACTGACTTTGGAAGAACTCATGGAAACTTCTGTGATAGAAAAATAAGACCTTTGCAATTATGATGAGTGGTTCATAAATTTATCCAAATTTCATATTCCTCTTTGAACTTCCCTTTCCACCAAATGTCCACTTGCCTGTGACACTAGTAATCCTTTTGCAGTTCTTCATCTGTTAACATATTCTCACGAGAATGTCTGTCTTAGTAAAGCAGAAGTCTTCTCAATTAACAACTACCCCAGCAATAGACATAGTATAAACTCTCTTTTCCCCTCTATACCCAATCATCTCAAAATGGTTGGCCAAATACCTTTCTCCCCAAAAGACTTTAAATAATTGCAAAGTCTTTTATTTACATCGTTAGAACTATTTCCACTAAGGTTGTCAAAGAGATATTTGTCATTAAATTCAAGTGATATTTTCAGTCTTTTAAAAAATGTATTGCTTTAAAGTGTTGGATTCTTTTCATGGAATTTCTTACTTTAAAGTTTCTTGATTTTTTAGGTTGAGTCTTTAGGGTATTGCATTTTCTAAATTTCTCTTTGTTCTTTCTCAAACAGCCTTTTGCTTATTATTTATTTTCTACATGATCCCTGTCAGAGTTTATTTTCTTCTAAGTTATTCTCACACCTTCTGTGGTTTAAATTACCATCTATTTGTTAATTATTCCAACGTAGGTCACTTTTATTACATAGTAACTACAACCACTTATTTTTTCAAGTGAAAATTAAATTTTTTCAACTGAAAGTTGAAAATTTAAATCATAATTCACCCAAGGACCTGCTCCTATACCACTGTTCCCTGTAGGAGAAAATGGTCCAACCTTTCACTCAGTTACTCCAATTAGTAGTAACCAAGATTTCTTGGTAGTCTTTAGATCCTTCCTCACCTTTGTCATGCTATATCCATGAATCCTGCAGTCTGCTTAGGGTGTATCACGGAAATACACACCCGGCCTCTGTCCTCCCCTACCAGTGCCCAATCCTAGTTTAAATCTTTCATCTTATTTGAAATTTTGGGCTGTTTCTGGAACTACTTCTATATTTTTTGCAGTCCTTTTTTTTTCTTTTTACTATACTACTCATTTTCACACTATAATGTTATACGTAAGACACAACCAGATATATTTTCTAGTTCTGGCTTTTCAGTGGTTCTGCAGTGTCTTAGGATAGCATTTATAATTCTCAGGTGACTTAGCAGTTCCTCAATGACCACACTCTCTCTGCTTGGTGTGTGCCACTTAGCCTCATTCTTTGCAGAATCTCCTGGCCTTCTTCTGGCTCCTCAGAAAGACTTACTCTTTCCTACTGGCCAGCATATGCCCAGAGTCTTATCCTGGATGTTCATCTTACTTCTTACTCGATAATTCTTTCCCACTATTTGAGATTTATTGGGAATTTTACTTCTTCAAAGAAGCTTCTTTGCAATGCCCACACTAGGTCAGAATTGTTCTCTGAGATATTGTCTAACTTTATACTTCTCATTGCTGCTAATCATCACACTTGTAATTACATATGTAATATTTTTCCACTAGATCATCATACAATTTTTTTCTCACTTATATCTCAGTACTTACTAGTCCTTTTAATTTAGAGTAGATGCTCATTTGTATTTGTTAAATATTTCAACGATTATATAATTGAACTATGAGAAAATGAAATTAAAAAAGGATATTTTGACCATGACTATAAAGTACAAATCTCTGTCAATCTTTTTTTTGCAATGAAAATTAATTTTATTATATTGGCATCCATGCTTTTAAAAAAAATTCATTTATGGATTAAATTAATTAGATTTATTATTATTATTATCATCATTTTATGGTACTGGGAATTGGATTCGAGGCCTTCACATTCAGCTAAATTTCCAGCCTATTTTAGAATTCAGAGAGAAAGTATTGCTAAAGCATTACGTTGATCAGGCTGGGCTCAAACCTGAAATTATCCTGCCTCAGCCTTTTATTAGAGTGCTGGGATAACAGGCAGATGCCACCATACCTGGCTGGGTTTATTATAAATATTTAGTTGAGAAATTTAACTGAATCAGGAAAAGTTTTAAAGAGATGCATGTAAAAAGTGACAATGTTTTCTCATATTTTTTCCTTTCCCTTCTTTCCTTTCCCCTACCTCTCCCAATTTCCCTTGCCCTTCCCCTTTGGACCTTTTCTAACTATTTCACATTATCTCTTTATGTTTTGATCTTTGCTCTTTCAGTTTCTCACACTAGAGAAACTGGTATTTACACACCAATAAACTTAATGAATAAAAAATGTGACAGAATGAAGGATTAACAAGAAGAGTGAAAGAGTGAAACAAAATATTATTGGAAACTATCCTAATAATCAAGAGACATATATTATTATTATTATTAGTAGTAGTAGTAGTATTATTTTTGGCACCAGGGATAGAACTTGAGGCCTTACGCTTGCAAGGCAGGTGGTAGAACTACTGAGCTAAATCCCTGGCCCTATATTATTATATAGCACAAATTGCATTTTCAGGAACTGTTTTTTTTTTTTTTTAATCTCTTCAGTTGGAATGGAAATTGTGTTTCCTTAAAACAAATTATTTTTCTTCATTTATCTCTCTTGTAACTCAGAACTTTTAAGCATGACTGACTTTAATTTAACAACCAGTCTATATCCTATTCTGATCTTCCTTAGTCTGACCTGTCCCTCTTTGTTACGATGGTAAATGTAGCTACTGGAAAAGTTTCACCTCTTTTGATGGCCTCTAAATCTTGATTTTTGTGGGTTTAATATTTTTTACTTTTTCAGAGCCACAAGGGACATTTTAAAATAAGGACTGAGTAATCCAATGCTGATAAGCTGGCTCACCTGTATTGTTAATAATAGTAATGACAATGCCTAAGTTTTGAGACCCTACTCTGTGCTAATACTCTGTATACACACACAAATTTACGTGTGTCATTCCTCGCTTCAACCTGATGTGATCCATAATATTATGTTACTAAACATAATATCACTGTTACTAAACAAATGAAAAATGAGGTGCAAAAAGATGACCCCACTTATCTAAGATGTCACAGTTTGTATTTCACAGATTTATCCTAAGTGGAGATTTTTAAAAAACACAAAGATGAACATGCCACATCAGTTTGTTATCCAGTGCATGTCTGGATTTAGGAATTCAGCAAAACATGGACTCGCCAAAACTATCTCTACAGCATCCAGTTAAAAATGTAAAATTTTATTAATATAATAGTGTCTTTTCTAGCAGTTCTTATTCAAATTCAAAATGAGTTTGGAACCTATATAAAAAAAAACTCATTACAAAGTGAAGGAGAGTAAGAAATAATTTTATATTGAAAATGTAATAAAAATGGCTCAGGATTTAGCTCAATGGCACCATTCCTGCCTTGCAAGCACCCAGTCCTGAGTTCAGTGCCTAGTACCAAAACAAACAAAATTTTTAAAATTGTGAAAATGTAATAAAAACAAAACCTGTTCCACAAACCATTTTTAATATTAAATTGGATGATTTTCAAGGCATTTTTTTGCAATTTAAAATTGCCACTTAACTGTGAGAATCTAGAAGCTGGAATATATTTTAGTTTATAAACAAAAATATTACTTACGGCCATGTAGTAAATAGTTTTACTCTGCATTATGAAGGAATGTATTAAACAATTAAGTCATATACCTTTGTTCTGAAGCAGAAACACATATGTGGTTTAGTAGCAATTATGTCATAATCCAAAGGGCATGGGCTATCAGTCTCCCGTCTAAAACTCTGCAGAGCTATAGAAAACATGTGCGGTAGACAGAATTATTGCCAAGTATTTTCACGTTTTAATCTCTGGGTGCTGAATTTTAAAAGCTACATGGCAAGGGGAATTTAAGGTTACTGGTAGAATTTTCTAATCATTTGATCTTAAAAAATAGACAAGTTTTTTGGCTGAGCTAATGTATGGTTAGATAAGCAGCAAAAATGACCGAATAGATGGAGTGTTCCAAAAATACTGGACGTTTAAATTTTAGAAATGCATACAGTGAGAAACACATTGCCATTCAACTCCCTCACAATTCTTCCACTCACTTTGCAGACACTTATTCCATGTTCTTGTCACTTTTCTGAAACATTTCTGGAAGTCCTCTTTTACGAGTGTCCTTAGCAGGTGGACTAAACAAATACAGTGCCGGCCGCTGTCGAGTGCCACTCAGGGAAAGGCAGGCTCGGAAAACACTGTAGGAGCGTGTTCTCATCCATCTTAGTCACTGGATCTGACAATGATCAACTACTGGGTCTTCTCTCTCAAATCAGAATGATTGTGCAAGGTAGATGTTTTAAATCAATTCAGACATCAAAGCAGTTACGACAGCGCCCTCAGAGACTCACAGCAGAGGACCTCCGGACCTGCTTCAGAGGCAGTGTGGTAGCACAGGCCTGTAATCGCAGCGCCACGAGTTTGAGACCTGTCTGGGCTACACAGTGAGTTCAAGGCCAGCCTGAACCGCACAAGGAGACTCCCACAAGCCAACCAACCCAGTAAGTAAACGAACACAAAAGCAAATAGAAAGTGGCAAGAGTGATGGGAAAAGTGTGTTGGAAATGAGGGGGAGTCTTTTGAGGGAGATTTATGTGCCTTTTATTGTAATACATTTTTTAAAATGTGAACTTTGCAGCATGTTTTTTTTTTTTTTTTTTTTTTTTTTTTTTTTTGTGCGTGTGTTTCTTGTGATGAGAGAGGAACTGGTACAACTTTTCCTTGATTTGAGAATACAATAAGATCTTGTGCCAGAGACTGTGAGCAGCCTCCAGATTCTGGACCAGGCAAGGAAGCAGATT